ATCATAAAAATTTTACAATTTATAAATTATAATTAAAAAATATACATAATAACTAATTAATAGTTTACAGTTATTTTAATAAAATAATATAAATTAAAAACTCATACAAAAAATAAAATATTATAAATAATAGTTAACACACAATTAGTTTATTTTAGACAAAATTATAATATTTTATTTAAAAAATTAATTTGATTTTTTTTTGTTTCTTGCTTTTATTAGTAAATTATTATAATTTTTACTTTTTATTTCAAAAAAAAATTTTAATTAAAATATTTTTAAGTTATAAGCATTCATAACTGTTAATTATTAAAATATTTAGTTTTAACTTAAGTTAAGCTAATAATAGATTAATAAAAATATTGCAATTTTTTCTTAATAAAATAAATTAATATAAATTATATATTGTTTTTTATAGATATTTATTTTAATACATTATTCAAGTTATTATATTAATTTTATTTTTTATTAATTTTTATTCAATTAAAAATAATTACCAATAAATAAAATCATTTATTGTGAATTTTTTTTAAAAATTATTATAAAATATATTTTAAATTTACTTAAAATTTAATTAATTAGCTTTATGTTTATATAAAAAAATAATATTTTATTTAAATGATTTTAAAAAAATAATATACATTTTATATATAAATATTAATTACAATTTATGGGCATTACTTTTTAAAAAATAAAAAAAACAATTAATTTATTACATTAAATATTACTGTAATCAATAAATAAATAAAAATTAAAATAAAATTTATGGTTAGCAAATCAGTTCAATAAAAATTGTAAAACAAAATAGTTTATTAATAGCTACATGTTAAAATTATTAAAATTTTACAGTTTTTTAAATTTATTACATATATATATATATTAAAATTTGTATTATTTAAAATTAATTAATTTATATTAATGTTATTATTAATACATTACATTATAAATATAAAAAAATATTAGTTATAATAAAATTTATGTCAATATTTATATATCTGTAAAAATATTATATAAACAATTATTATTTATTTATTTATAATATAATTTATTTAATTTGTAAAATTATTATAAATATTTTAACTATTTGTTAAAATTATTAACAACAAAAATATATTAACAAATATTTTATGTAAATAGTTACTTGTTGATTTTTTTTATTAAATAATATAATATCACCCAATTATAGTTAAATCATATAAATTATAAATATATTTATAATAACTTACAGTTAAATACAAACAAAATTGTAAATCATTGTAAAAGCTATCAACAAAAAAATATTTTTTTAATAATTATTTATAAATAATATTTTCAAATAATATAATTTAATATTTTTTTAACATTAAATATTATACATAATATTAAAAAGTATAGTTAAATTACGTGCTATTTTATTATTATATTGAAAAAAAATAAAATTTTTAAATTTTAAACAATTAACAATACAGTGTATACTATATAGTATAATATAATTTATTGGTTATTTTTGTAAATATATAATTAAGCATGGTTGAATAGTTATTAGAAATATTTTTATAAAAAAAATTTCTATTAAATTATAATTATCTATGACATTGAAAACATTTATTTTTATTTTTTTATTATAATTAAATGAATGAATGAAAATATCATAGTTTGTAAAAATATTAAAATATTTTTTGATAACACAAAAAAAATTATTAGTAGTTAATACTTAGTGAGCATATATTCTACAATAAAATTAAATAATAATTTTAAAAATTATTATTTAATTAAATTAAGTATTTATTTTAATATTTTAAATATGATCAACATAGTTTTAAATTTAATATTAAATTTTATCATTTAATTTATTTAAATAAAACTAATAATAAAAATGTTTGTAAAATTTATTATAATATTTGATAAATTAATTAATTAATTATTATTTTCATAATTAAAAAAATTCAGTGACTAATTGCAATGAAATGTAAGTTTATTTATTTTTTTTATTGATAAATATTTATTAAATTATTATTAGTATTTATATTAATATATATATATTTATATATATACAGTAGGTTAGTAACATTAATTTAATTTTTTATTATACACAAAAAATATTGTTAACTTTTTTTTTTAATATATATATATATATATATATATATATATATATATTAATATTACACATACATTATATGTATACTAAATAAATCATATCAGCAATTATTAGACACTTTTTTTATATTATAAAAAATAAAAAGTGTGTATCACATGAAAAACATATGTTTTATGTAAAATCATTTAATTTTTTTGTTTGTTTGGTTGACTATTAATATATATATATAAATAATTACTAGTAATTTAATAGTATCGCAAAATTTATTTTAATCAATTTTGTTAAACAAAAAAAAATTTAATAACAAATTGACAAACTGTCAGATATTTTTTGATATAAAATTGATAAAAAAAAATTTAAAACATATATTAAATACTAATAATAATAATGAAAATTAATTAGGTTACATAATAATAAACTATTCAATCAATATATTGTATTTAATTATAATTTAATATATTTTTTTGTAAAATAAAGTTTAAATTAAGTTACTATTAATAATAATAAGTTGTAAAAATAATGGATTAAAATAACAAATAATAATTTAAACTAAAATAATTGGTTTATATATTTAATAGTTATTTATAAAAAAAATTAATTAAAATTAATTAATTAATTAAAAAATATTTAGTTACAAACTATTGTCTGGGAAATGTTGAATCGTGTCCAACGGGAACTGTCTAGTGTTCATCCACTATCACTGTATCGCAAACAAAATCACATACCTGTGCCCACAACGCCAACAACTACACAACAATCTACCGGTGCTCATGGCTTAGCACATAGTAAGCCTAGTGTCTATGCAAACGGTTACGCATTGCCGGCGGTAATCGGCAGTAGTAGTGGTGGTGGTGGTCAACAATCGGCCGAAACTACAACAATCGGTAGTAGTAGTGGTGGTGGTGGTGGCGGTGGCGGTAGTGTCGGCACCGGTAGTAACAAACGGCGCATTTCGAAGATTATTAGCGAAGTTAAAGAGCGTCGGGAAATGAGGGAAAGGAAACGGTCGGACTTGCAGGACATGAACGGGTCGGATACCGAATTGGACGTCTTTCTGGATCCCCGATTGGCCGCAAAAACCAAATACTATAAGGAAAAGCTGAAAGTCTATAACTTTCTCAATAATCCCCAATCATTTTGGGCCCGAAGTTATCATATACTGGTGTTTATACTGGTTTTTGCCGGACTTATTGTAACTGTTTTCTCAAATATAGGTAAATATTTATTTTATTTATTATTATTTTTTTTTTTTTTTGAATTACAATTCAATTACAAACAAATAATTATCATTTAAAAAAAAATTCAGAAAAATGTTAAAAATAAATTAATTTTTTATTATTATAAATTATTATTTTAAATTTATACTTACAATTTAAACAAGTAACTTGTATGTTTATATTAAGCAATCAATACATTATTTAAAATATTATTAAATATTAAGTTTTATTAAAAATAATTATACATTATATATATATATATATTGTATAAAAATAAAATAATATATATATTTATTTATTTAATTTATTACAATAATATTGATATAAAATATATTTATTTAAGTTTATTTTTTTGTGAAATTAATAACAAATAGTTTTTTTAATTAAATAATTTTTTACATACTAGTAATTTTAATATTAGACAAATTTTTTTAGTTTAAAAAATTTAACATTTTTTTGTGTAATATATTTAATTTAATAATAACTAATTATTAATTTAATTATTTTTTTTGAGTATTTATTAAACTATTAAAATTGAATTAATAATTTAGTTGTTATAGAGTTTTCTAATATTATTAATATTATTTATTTTTGTAATAGTAATAAAAATTTTAAAAATAACAATAAATTATTATTATAAAAATTATTCAAAAAAAACAGTAAATTAATAATATAGAAAAATTATAGCTATTTAATTTAATTTTTAATATTTATATTAGTAGGATACAAAAATATGAATACAATCATTATTCATATTATTTTAAAATCTTAAACTATAATAGTATTTATTTATTATTTTTTAATATAACTAATAAATAGTTAACAACTTATATAATGAAAAAGTTTTTAAAATAATTTACAACAACAACAACAAAATGTTTATTATAGTTAAATTGAAAATAAATTAAATAAGATTTTTTTGTAAAAAAAAATATAAAATCTATATATATTTTTTTCAATATAAAAAATTGATTAATGATTTTAAATTTTATAATAAAGTTTAATTTTCTATAAATATGTATCTACTAATGTATATCAATTAATTTTATAAAATGATATAGTTTTTTTTTAATTTTTGATTTATAAAATATTATTAGATCAATAAAAAAAAATAATATACATATTATTAGATTATTTAGATATAGCGACAACTAAATTTTATTTTTATATTTTTAAAGTATTTATTAAACTAATAATTAAATTATTTATTTAGTTACAGTTTACTGATATTATTATTATTTATGAAATAATAACAATTTAATAATAATACAGGTAATAATAAATTAGTATTATTATTATAATTAAACTTTTTTAAAAACTATAAAATATTAATATACTTAAAAGTATAGATCTTTATTATTTTTTTATATTAAAAATTTTATTTAGTAAAATATGTTACTATATAACTATTATTTGCTTAAATTATTGATTTTTTTTTTTGTTAAACTTGAATTAATATATAACTAATTAGTAATTGTAGTGTTAATTATAACAACTATTAAATAGTAAATATATTTACTGATACAAAATATTTAGTATCATTTAAATCGTAAAATTTAATAAGATTTCTCTAAAAATTATAAAAATAATATCAATATAATTATTAAAAAAAATTAATTAATTATTTTTTTAAAATTATTAATAAATATTTATAAATTTTTCTTATCAATATTTATTAGTATAATTAATTTATTAATAAATGCTATCAACAATAGATATATCATAAAACCATACAAATAATAATCAATTAATTAATTTCTATATAAAAAAGTTTTATATACTATATATACATTATATACAAAAAATAGTATATAATATTTGATTTATAAAAATTAAATAATTTATCTTAATTTACAACAAAAACAAAACAATATATTTCTATATAAATTACTTAATGTCTATATAAAATTTTTTATATACTGTATATTTTTCAAAATTAAATTATTTATTCAATTTACAACAACAATATATTTCTATATTAATTAAATTAATTTCTTTATAAAAAGTTTTATATACTATATATATATATACAGTATATAAAAAATAGTACATAATATTAGATTTTAAAATTGAATAATTAATTTAATTTATAACAAACACAACAAACAAAAAAAGACAATATATTTCTATATGAATTAATTAATTTCTATAAAAAAAATTTTTAATATACTATATATATACAGTATATAAAAAATAGTACATAATATTTCAAATTAAAATTTAATTATTTATCTTAATTTACAACAACAATAACAAAAAAAAAAACAATATAATTCTAGATAAATTAATTAATTTCAATTTTAAATTTTTTTAAACAATAGCAACAACAAAAAACAATAATAACAACATTAATAATAATAATAATAATATCAATACAAAATCATTGCCATCACTGGGAAAGTTTGCTTCAAGCGCCTGGAAATTTATCTACTTGTTTGAAAAATTCATAATCATATGGTTTTCGTTTGAATTTATACTGAGAGTATGGTCATCGTCGTGCAAACCTAAATACGAGGGCTGGAGGGGTAAGCTTAGAGATGGGTGGGCAAATAGAAAGTTTCTATTTAAATTTCCAATTAGAGAAAGTTTTCAAGGAAATTTTTTTTCAAGGAATAAATTTCTATATAAAGTTTCTATTTAAATTTCTCTGAGAGAAAGTTTCTAGGAATTTATTTTTTCAAGGAATAAATTTCTATAGAAAGTTTCTATTTAAATTTCCCATTAGAGAAAGTTTTCAAGGAAATTTTTTTTCAAGGAATAAATTTCTATAAAAAGTTTCTATTTAAATTTCCCAATAGAAAGTTTCTACGAATTTTTTATTTCAAGGAATAAATTTCTATAGAAAGTTTCTATTTAAATTTCCCTGAGAAAGTTTCTAGGAATTTTTTTTCAAGGAATAAATTTCTATACAAAGTTTCTATTTAAATTTCCCTGAGAGTTTCTAAAAAAATTTTCAAGAATAAATTTCTATAGAAAGTTTATATTTAAATTTCCCTGAGAAAGTTTCTAAGAAGTTTTTTTCAAGGAATAAATTTCTATAAAAAGTTTCTATTTAAATTTCCCAATAGAAAGTTTCTACGAATTTTTTATTTCAAGGAATAAATTTCTATAGAAAGTTTCTATTTAAATTTCCCAATAGAAAGTTTCTACGAATTTTTTATTTCAAGGAATAAATTTCTATAGAAAGTTTCTATTTAAATTTCCCTGAGAAAGTTTCTAAGAAGTTTTTTTCAAGGAATAAATTTCTATAAAAAGTTTCTATTTAAATTTCCCAATAGAAAGTTTCTACGAATTTTTTATTTCAAGGAATAAATTTCTATAGAAAGTTTCTATTTAAATTTCCCTGAGAAAGTTTCTAAGAAGTTTTTTTCAAGGAATAAATTTCTATTTAAATTTCCCAATAGAAAGTTTCTACGAATTTTTTATTTCAAGGAATAAATTTCTATAGAAAGTTTCTATTTAAATTTCCCTGAGAAAGTTTCTAGGAATTTTTTTTCAAGGAATAAATTTCTATACAAAGTTTCTATTTAAATTTCCCTGAGAGTTTCTAAAAAAATTTTCAAGAATAAATTGCTATAGAAAGTTTATATTTAAATTTCCCTGAGAAAGTTTCTAAGAAGTTTTTTTCAAGGAATAAATTTCTATAAAAAGTTTCTATTTAAATTTCCCAATAGAAAGTTTCTACGAATTTTTTATTTCAAGGAATAAATTTCTATAGAAAGTTTCTATTTAAATTTCCCTGAGAAAGTTTCTAGGAAATTTTTTTCAGGAATTCTATAGAAATTTAACTGTATTATTATACTATGATGGGATCCCCCATATCTATAGATATTGTAATTCTATATTAATGTGATATAATACTATACATATATTATATTATACAAAATGGGATATCTATATATATATAAAATAATTATAATTATTTAATAATAATGAGTTTTTATAAAAATTTTCAATTTTTCATAAAAATCAATTCTAATATACAGTATATACAGTATATCATAGTTTAATAAAAAATTAATTAAATAAATTTATTACTTTAATTAATTATATTAAAATACTGTAATACTTTAATATTTAATTATTAATTGTAAAAACAATGTAAAAGAAAGTTTTAAAAAAGTATATATTAAGAAAATAAAATTAACCCATAGATAGAAATTTCGATTAAAAACTTTCCAGAAAATTTCCCTTATTATTTTATAAATTTCTCTCTTTTGATTTTTTTTGCTCCCAACACTAGGTAAGCTCCGGTACCTGTCAGTACCGGCACACATACTGGACATCATAATCATAGTGTCCTCCATATTGATTGTTACGCCATTTCATACACGTAACGGATCGGAAGTGTTTGCCGTATCGGCCTTCAGGGGGTTTCACCGATTTTTTTCGGTCCTACAAATTGTTACACTGAACCGACAGCTACAACCCTGGAAGGTTTTGAGCTCAGTTATCTACGATCAGAGGGAACAGTTGCTGATTATTTTCTACATTGAATTTATTGTATTGTGTATATTGGCTTATATATCATATATAGTGGAAAAGGATGAAAACGAACAGTTCGATAATATTGCCGAAGCCATGTGGTGGGCGGTATGTATAGTATAGTATATATATATATATAATTGGTTACCTACCTGTGCTCACTACTAGTGAGTCACTAGCATACAATACATAGATTAATATTATATTAGCTAAGTGTAGTAAAAAAAATTTTTTTATATATTATTTTTTAGCATGTGTTTGACTGTATTATTAATAATAATAATAATAATAATAATTTTTACTAAATTTTAAAGTTATATAAAATTATTTTTAAAAAATAATTATTATTATAATTAAATATTATTATATAGTATTATAATTTTATTTATACAAATAGCAGTGGATTTTTTTTTATAAAAAAATATCTAATAATTAATTATAATTACTGTATATATATATATATTGCTTACTTAATTACTGGTTTATAATTTATTTAAATTTTTTTTTAATTTGTCAAATAATAGGTGGTCACACTGGCTACTGTAGGCTATGGCGATCGGGTGCCGGTAGGTTAATTAAATTTATTATTATTATTAAAGTTAATTAATTATAAAAAACAAAACAAAAATCAATAAGTTAGCCGATGATATAAAAATCAATGAAATTAAAACTAACAATTAGTTTAGAAATAATTTTAACTAAAAAAATACATTTTAAAATTCTGATCTATTAATAAATTTTTAATTAAATAAAAAAAAATATTAATAACAAAACAATTTAGAAAATATATATATTATTCATATAATTATTAGATATTTATTAATATTATAACTATTAGATATTTATTATTATTATAACTAATAGATAATTATTATTATTATTATTATAACTAATAGATATTTATTATTATAATAAATAATAGATATTTATTATTAATTATAACTATTAGATATTTATTATTATTATTTATTATTACAATTTTAATATACAATATCTTCAATAATAATAATAATTTATTTTATTTTTTTGTCACTTAATTATTATTATTATTATTTCAATCAATGGGGCACCTGGATGATAATGATGATGATTAGGTAACCTGGTTGGGCAAACTAGTATCATCAGTGTTCACTGTATTAGGTGTAGCCATATTTGCCTTACCGGCCGGTATTATCGGTGCCGGACTGGCCTTAAAGATCGAGGAAGAGGAACGCAATCGACAGCGCCGTAAGAAAAAGGCGGCCGCGGCTACACTCATACAGTGCTCGTGGAGATGCTATAAGGCTAGTCAGGCCTATCAGGAAATGTCTGGGTTTTTTGGTCATAAACCGACCGATATCTACAAGTTTTACTATTTCGAAACCATTGAGAAAAAGTTCATATGTTTGACCAGATTTTTTATAGCCAAACAACGATTCATTGATTTGTTGCGGCCGTTGGACATCAAAAGTATTATCGAAAGCTACAAATACGGACAGTTGGATGTTATGAGTCGAGTCAGTCATATGCAGAATACTATCGATACTATAGGTAGGTGTTTAGGGGTGTAGGTGTATAGGTGTGTAGGTGTGTAGGTGTGTAGGTGTGTAGGTGTGTAGGTGTGTAGGTGTGTAGGTGTGTAGGTGTGTAGGTGTGTAGGTGTGTAGGTGTGTAGGTGTGTAGGTGTGTAGGTGTGTAGGTGTGTAGGTGTGTAGGTGTGTAGGTGTGTATGTGTGTGTATGTGTGTGTGTGTGTACAGTATATGTGTGTTTATGTGTGTGTGTGTGTGTGTGTGTACAGTATATGTGTGTTTATGTGTGTGTGTGTGTGTGTGTGTGTGTGTGCAGTATGTGTGTGTATGTGTGTGTGTGTGTGTGTGTGTGTGTGTGTACAGTATATGTGTGTGTGTGTGCAGTATATATATATGTGTGTGTGTGTGTGTGTGTGTGTGTACAGTACATGTGTGTTTATGTGTGTGTGTGTGTGTACAGTATATATATATATATATATATATATATATATATATRTGTGTGTGTGTGTGTGTGTGTGTGTACAGTATATGTGTGTATGTATGTGTATGTATGTGTATGTGTGAAATAACACTGTGTATTGTGTAACCAGTATATGGCTATATTGTTGGCATAATTTTATTTAATTAAAAATATCTATTAAATAAAGATTATTATAGATTTTTTACTTTTAATATAAATTTTATAAAGTTTATTTTTAAAAAAAAACTGTATAGAATTATTATAAATAAAAAATAACTTTATTATGTGTTTAATCAAAATAATAGACAGTGTAGCGCAAATGAAAATAAATTTAATTATTATTATTTTAATCAATAAGTTTCAACAAGTTATGTTTTAAAAAAAAATTAATTTTTAAACATATTATTATTAATAATTTTTACTTATTCAGACTTTTTTTTTTAAAAAAATTAACATTAAAAAATAAAACTAATAATTTTAAAACTTTATTAATTTGAAAAATAATTTTTTGTTGTATTTTTTTATTTACTTATTTTTTTACCGTATATTTGTTTTCTTATGATAATTTTTTTTTTGATTTATTTAAATTGTTTTTTTAGATTAATTTAGTATTTTTTTTTACTGAAAAACAAAATTATTTTATTTTATTTTTTTTTAATTTCTATTTTAAAGGCACTATCTATAAAAATAAAATAATATTTAAAAAAATAAAATATAATAACTTATTATTAAAACTATTCTTTTATGAATGAAATATATATTTTAAACGTATTTTAGTAATATAAAAGTATTTCAAAAAAAAAATAAATAAATATTTTTTATTTATTTAAATTGTTTTTTAGATTAATTTAGATTTTTTTTACTAATTTTTTTTTCTTATTTTAAAGGCACGAGAGTCGGTCTAAACGAAAATACTATACAAAACTCTCAGTCAGTATTGAATCAAAAAATCGATTCAATGAACGATTTGATTGATGATATTAATAGAAAACTAACGGAACAGTTGTCAGTCATCGACCAGTTATCCGGTCATCACGTGTTTGATCAACGATTTTACGATTGTATGGATAGTATAACGAAAAACACGTGCAATGAATGCAAACGCAGTTGTGTTTAGATAATAATTTTTTTTTAAAAATTTCAATTATTTTTATTTAACAAAAAAACAAAATTAATAACAATTATTATTAATTTTAATATAATATATATATACAGTGTATATATTATCCAAAAAAATTTATTTAAAAATATAATAATTATTATTGAATTAGTTGTATATATATATATATATAGCATAATGTAATAGATTATATAATTAATTTTACTTTTATTATTATTAATTAATAATTAGTTTTGAAACAAAATTATGTACAGTTTGTTAAACAAAATAATAATAATAAAACTATTAAAAAATAGACACTAATTTATTTTTTTAGAGATTAATATTATCATCTATTATACTATTTGTATAAATTTATAGTAATATATAATATATATATATAAGTAAAATAGTTAGAAACAAAATTGATTATACTAAAATATAAAATTACACAATGTTTTTTTATTTTTTTATTTATACAATATTAATCTAAACTATTTATCTAAATAATATGTAATTACACTAGCAATATGTAATTGTTTGAATGTTAGATAATTATTAAACAAATATTAGAAATTGTACCAAGTTGATAAATTAACAATTTAACAACAAAAATTATAATACTAAAAATAAAAGTTAATAATTTTTTTTAAATATATGCAATTTATTATTACATATTTACAAAAAAAAACATAATTAAAAATTTTATAATCTATAGGAATTAAAAAAATATATTGATAAAAATTATTGCATTTTAATAGATTAATAGATATTTATATCAAATAATTTTTTTTAAAAAATAACAATTAGTATTAAAAACAAAATTAAATTTCTCTAAAAAAACATTGCATTTTTAAACATTGTTAACATGTAAATAATAATTATTATTTTTTATAAATATACATTTTATACAAATTTTATTTAAAATATAAAAAACTATGTGATGTTTGAGTACAATATTTAGTTAATATTACTTTTTTATTATTATTATTAACCTATTAATAATTATTATAATAAATTATGTACAGTTTGTAAACAATAAAAAATTATTATTATTAATAATAATAATATACAATATTTATAATTTATTAATTTATTAAAATAAATATATTATTTAATAATTATTAGCAAATATCTATAATCTAATCATTACGTAGGATATACTGTATGTAAATTAAAAGTAAAATTGATGGTAAAAAATAATTGATTAATTATACAAAATAAAATATTTACAAAAAAAAATAATTTAAAATATTTTTCTAAATAAACACTAAAATTACAATATCTGTATGTAATTTAATAGTAATCTGAAAAATTTGTTAAACAAATAATAAATTTTGCACCAAGTTGATAAATAAACAATTCAAAAAAAATTGATAAAGATTAATTTAAATTAAATATAATTAATTTTTATATAAAATTTATTATTTAATAAAATGTAATTATATATTGCAATAACATTATTAAAAAAAATGTATAATCAATACAATTTTTTAAAAATGATAAAAATTAAATTAAAACAATTGCATTGTATAGATAAATAAACATGTAATAGATATTATTAACTATTAACTAGTTACCTTATTATTTAACTTATTTTTTTTAAAAAAAAGATACTTGAACATTGTACTAATTAATTAACTAAAATTGATAAAAAAATTAATAATAAATTGATAAATTTATTATATAAATATAAATGTTTAGTAGTTTTTATTATTATTTATTTTTATTATTTATTATTAACTATAAAATAAAAATATAATAATATCTTAATTGATAAAAAAATATATTAATTATTATTATGTTTAAGTTAACTATAATTAATACAATTGTTTTAATTATTATTAGCTATAACTATAATGTTATAGCATTTAGTAGTGATAACTATAATGATTTAAACAATAATAACAACAACAACACTACAAATGTAATTAACAACAAATAAAAAATTAATTAATTATAATAAATAAAAAATATATTATAATTTATTTAAAACTAATTTTTGTTTTGTTTTTAATTTTCAGATACAATCGGATCTATATCTATGCGGAGGCATTGATAGCGACACGTATTTTTCAAAATGCATAAAATATAATCTGGAAACACGTGTTTGGCGATCAATTCAGCCGATGACCAGTAGTCGCGTGTGGTTTCAATTGGTTGCTTACAAATCTCAATTGTATGCCATCGGCGGGTTTGATGTAAACTTAAAATAATATATTAATTAATTAATTAATTTTATTAATAATTTTTTTATTTTCATAATTAATATAATAGTATTAGTAATTTTAATTAATATTTATTTAACTTATAATTAATATTTATTTAACTTATAATTAATATTTATTTAACTTATAATTAATATTTATTTAACTTATAATTAATATTTATTTAACTTATAATTAATATTTATTTAACTAATTATTATTATTAGGGCAGTGATGATACAAATAGTGTTGAAAATTATGTTAGCGATACAAATACATGGTATCCATCGTTGAAATCGTTGAACAAAATACGAGAGTAATAATCAATAAATATTTAAAATAATACTTAAAATATTATTTAAATTAATTTTTTTAAAAAAATAACTTTAATTTAATTATAAATACTTAAAATAATTATTTATTATTATTTTTTTAATTAATTTATTAGAGCAATGGGTGCAGCAGTTATTGATAACAGTATCTATGTTTGCGGCGGTTTTGATACTAAACCTGGAGGTAATATAAATTGTATTTATTTTTTAAAAAAATCAATAATAATAATTAATATTAATTAACAAAAAAATACTATTAAAATAATAATAATAATAATAATTAATATTAATAAATATTAATTAATAAAAAATAATATTAAAATTATAATAATAATTAATACTAATTAACAAAAAAATACTATTAAAATTATTATAATATTAATTTACTAAAAAAATACTATTATAATAATAATGATAATTATTATTATTATTACTAACCCCTCCCTCCACCCCCACCCCCTGCCTACAGAATTTCAAGGTCAATACTTGAATGATTGTGAATATTATACAACAAATACAAAACAATGGTATCTGAGTATACCTATGCTATCTAGACGGGCACATTTGGCACTGGTAGCTCAGGGACAACTGTTGTATGCATTGGGTGGCCGGGATAATGGCAGTGAATTGGCTACTGGGGAACGGTATGATACGGGTAGTCAACAATGGCAGCCAATAGCTAGTATGCTAACCAAAAGGTATGTGAGATATATAAACTATATATTATATATATATATATTATATTTATTATTAATATACTACTAGAGCTGAATTTGGTGCCGTATCCTATAAGGACAAGCTATATGTGTGCGGAGGATCGGTAGCTTTTGGCTCATATACTAACCAATGCGAGGCATATGATCCAGTGGCCGATAAGTGGACAAAAATTGGTAATTATAAATACTAATTAATTAATTACAATATATATATATATATATATATATATATATATATATATTAATTATACTAAATAATAATTTAGTGTTATATTATTTTTTTTGTTTAATTTAATTTATTTTTTAATTAATTGTTTTATATATTTTGTTTAAATTAATTAATTATAAAAATTAATTAGTAGTAATTAAGTAGTTAATTACAACAACAACAATAAATAATAATTAATTGTTTTATATATTTTGTTTAATTTATAAAAATTAGATAAATTTAACAAAATATATAACTATTAAATATTAATTATTGTTGTTATTGTAATTTACTACTTAACTAGTTATAATACTTAATAATAATATAAAAATATGATAATATAGTGAATATTTTTTTTTAAAAAACAACATATTTATTAAAAATTAATTTAAATAAAATTATTAATTAATTATTAATTAATTATTAATTGAAAATTATAGGATCATTGAGTGAAAAACGTAAAAGTTTACAATTGATAGTCTATAATGAAAGGTTGTATGCATTGGGTGGCTATCCATGTAAGTCAACAACAATAAAAAATAACTAAATATTTAATAATAATATTTTTTTTTAAAAATAATAATAATTTTTTTTAAGTGACAAATACTGTAGAAATTTACGATTTAGAGGCCAATGAATGGCAATTTAGTCAACCGTTTCCCTATAAAGTACAAGCATTTGGGGTATAATTTTTTGATTTTATTATTTTAATTATTTAAATAGATTTATTATAAACTAATTATTATTATTTTTTTAAATATTTTTATCTAATTATAGGCAACAATTTTATAGATCAATAATAATGATAAAAATTTATTTATTTTAAAAATCAATAAAAATCTATTATATAAATAAAAATTTATAATTTTTTTAATGTATAAATTATTTTATTAATTTTTTATAAATACTATTATTTTTTATAAATACTATTATTTTTTTATTTTATCAATTATTTAGAAAGTTCAAAACTGTTTTCAAACTGTACATAATTTTTTATAAAAATTATTAATAGTTTTAATATTAAAAATAATATAATTTAAATAGTAATATCACTAGCTTATCAATACTCATTTATTGTTTAATTAATTTATGAATTAATTTATGAAAAAAATCATTTAGTATATAATTTTTGGTTTAGATTATAAATATTATTATTATTAAAAAAATAAATATATTAAAGTACAAGCATTTGGTTATAATTTTTGATTTAATTAATTAATTAATTAAATTATCTTTTAATGTATTAATTATTTTTTAAATTAAATATATATATAATTATTATATAATTATTATATAATTATTTGTTTGTTTGTTGTCATAACAAAAATTATTAGATTTATAAAATATATTAATTAATATTTAATTTTTTATATAATAATGTAATTATAAATATGAATAAAATTATTAAAATATAAATTATATATTTTTTAAATTAGACATAAAAATTGTATTATTATTTAGTAGAATATAAATATTATAAATAATAATTTTCTATAACATTTATAAGTTAAATAAAAATTAATTTTTTATATAACAAATTTTTTATCTAACCTTTATTACAAAAAAAAAATTATTAATTATTTAGTTAAATAGTTGATTGGCTTATGAGTCTAAATAATTAATATTATTTTTATATTAAAAAATACTATTAATATAATTTTTTAAATATGTACAGTTTAAAAACAACCAAAAATTAACAAACAATTTAAAAATAATATTATTTATTTATAAATTTTAATTTAAATAAATTTTAGAAATAAATATTATTATTAATTATTTAGTATAATATAACATTATTTAATATATATTTATAAATAAAAATTTTTAGTGTAATTAAACAAATATTTTTTTATATTTAATCATTTATACATAAATTTAGTATTATTATTAATAATTTTCTAATAATATATTATAAATTAAATAATTATTTTTTTTATCAAACAACTATTTTATCTAAACTTAAACTACTTCTAAATGTAATAAAAGTAATATTTAAATTAATTTTAAAAAATACACAAAATATATACAGTATATATATAACTAAACCTATTCTAGTCTATTAATATTATTTATTACTTTTATATTTAAACTTTTAGTAGTTAATATAAAAATTTATGTACAGTTTTGAAAACTAAAAATAATTACTTTTTGAAAAACTATTAAATAATAAAATATAATTTATTCATATTTTTTTAAGTAAATTAAAATTATTATTTAGTAGAATATAAAAATTTTAAACCTATTTTAATGAAACAAATAGATTATAATAAATAACTAAAGATTTAATGTTATGTTTTTTAAACAATATTAATCTAAATTATTTTTTTTAAAAACAAATTAGCAATATGTAGCAATTATAGTGTTAATTAAATATATATATATATATATATAATTTTTTTAATTTCATCAAGTTGATAATTTAAACAAATATTTTATCTAAAGTTTATTTTTTTTAAATATTAAAATTTAATATTTTATTAAAATCTAAAAGCCAATTAATCTATTAAATTTAATAGTACATTTATAATTTAAAATTATTAACACTTATTATAAAAAATTAGTTACAGTTTGAAAGATTTATTTTTTTGGACTCAAATTAATTGGAAATTATAGGATCATTGAGTGAAAAACGTAAAAGTTTACAATTGATAGTCTATAATGAAAGGTTGTATGCATTGGGTGGCTATCCATGTAAGTCAACAACAAAAAAAATAAAATAAAAATTAAATAAATATTTAATAATAATATTTTTTTAAAATAATAAAAAAAAAATTTTAAGTGACAAATACTGTAGAAATTTACGATTCAGAGGCCAATGAATGGAAATTTAGTCAACCGTTTCCCTATAAAGTACAAGCATTTGGGGTATAATTTTTTGATTAAATTATTTTAATTAATTAATTAATTTAATATAAACTAATTATTATTATTTTTTAAATATTTCTATCTAATTATAGGCAGCAATTTTATAGATCAATAATAATAATAATAATAATATTTACTGATAATTTTTAAAGAAACAATAAAAATCTATTATATTGACGTAAAAGTCAATATATATTTAACTTTATTGAATATTTATTATTATTATTATAAAATATTTATATTTTAAACTATCATTTACGTAATAATAACACATATTATGTATTTTACAACAGGATATACACATCCTTTTGTTTGATTTTAACACTTATATAATGTATTGTTTTACTATATGATAGTTATTCTGGCCTTAAAGTTATATACAGTTTAGACTATTATTTAAATGTATATTTTTATATAGTAGTGGTTTACTGTACCGTTTGATACCAATCTAATATTATAATAAAATTATACTGTTTTGAACTAAGCGATTGGCGTTAACTATTATTTTGTGATACTACTGTATACTGGATATTGTTTAGCAGTAAGTAGACTATTAAAATAAATAACTATTTTGTATATAACTGCACAACGATGACACACATCACCGTTGCGGGTGATAGTGACCACTGGGGGTCAGAATCGGGTTAGCAATTTAACCGGTGGTTACTTCATATATGGTGGCAGCTATGAGGGATTTGTAGCCCACATAGGCTGTGGTAAAAGCGATTGTTGTGTGTGTAGAGGGAATTACACTAACAATATAGTCGCATACTAAGTCCTTTATGTTTAAATAATCGGTTTTGTATAAGAAGCCGAGGACTTGGTCGGCCGTTAGGCACGAGTTTTTTTTATGAAAACTGTTAAATGTTTTCTATAATTTTTTAAATCGCAAGACATTTAATATGTTAATATCTAATCATAACAGAAAAAAATGGGTTCGTTAAGGCCTGAAGATTTGACTGTTACAATTGATATGGTGGACGATATGGTGATTACGGTGCTTAATACACCTCCATTGCAGTCACCGGCGGCTTTTGAAGTATATGAGCCACAAGACTATGGTAACCTAACTACCGAAGAGATGCAAAGAGCACTTTGCGAAGAGCTGGGTGTGGACTATGACAGCATAATAGACATACCTATTGAAGCTGTGTTACCGTGTGGTGCTGTTATGGCACACAATTCTCCAGTATCTGTCAATGATAACAATACTATTGGTGTTGTGGTGGATCAGGAAACTCATGTGATACAGGATATTGAGCCGATGGAGATTCAGTCGGCTGATATAGGGCCACAAAATATACAAGCGAAAGTTATACAATCGGCAGACATAGACCCGGCAGGTATTCAAACAATAAGAAATCAGACGATAGATTCTGCTGAATTGGTTCGAAATAAAAGACTTAAAAAGTATAAAGTGGTTACGGCAAAAAAGCAACGCTCATCCGATGTCGATACAGGCAACAAAAAGTTACAGTCGTTGGTAACCGTTGTGCCACATAATTCACCATCTACTGCATGTAAAATAATAGTATCTAACTATTATAATAAATTGCCAAAGTATACAAAGGAGATGATTGCTGTTAGCCTAAGAAATATTGAACAATGGCCAAAAAGGGAGCCGAGACCGAAGCGGTACTCAATGGTGCAAAGAAATACCGTTACATCAATGGTAACTTCCAGTGATGGAATGTATATTGGTTGTATCAACGGTCGTATATACAAATATAAATACAACTCAGACATACCGTTATCTACTAAATACAAATGCATGAGTGGTGCTATTGTTGACATAAAACCTAAGTGTCCAAAAGGTTTTATCTATGGAGTGACGGCTCAACAGATACAACAACTTGATGATGGCAATGGGGAAACCATTAAGCTAGAAAACTTTATTTATCCTATTGTAAAGGTTATTGCGGAAAGTGCACAGAAGTTAATATTTCTCAAGAATGGACAGGTGATGCAAATTATTGTCAAGAATAGACTATTTGTGAAAATAATACCCATCTATTCATTTGATACAAGAGTTCGGACAGCGATACTGTTGGATCATTTAGATATATCCAAAGTTATGCCAGTTTTAATACATTTCAATGAACGTATGGCTGTGGTGATCTTTGAATTCAATTACGGGAAAATAAAAACAGTCAGCCGACTACAAGAGATCCGCTTAGATGACAGTGTCCGTCATCTCATGCATATCACCATGGGAGATCAGTTTTGCTTTGTTGCCGATACTTACAAAACAAATGCAGATAAATTATCAAATGTAATTGGTGTCTATCATAACCATGGCTTTAGGCATAGCCATAGTCGGTCTTTTACGACACTGGGTCGAATGATTACTAATATTTTTATGTCTTATCATAAACTAGTGGTCCTTACGGAGCCATTACAAATTGAAATTTATAATCAAAGTTCACAAATTCTTGAATATATGGTTCCTCTCTATCAACCTGTTGTTAACTTCAGGATTATAAAAAACAAAGCTGTCTTTGTTTTAAATTCAGGATATGGTCAAGTGATTGACCTGAATAATTGTAAAGTTAAACAAAACGCTCGGTTTATTAAAGTCAATGGCGAATACAGAAGTGCTACAGTTAGATCAGAAGAAATCCTGAAGAATCGCGAAGGGAAATATCGTCTAAAGGAGTCATTAAATGAGGTCTTTGGGGATCTGGCAAAAGCATATGGTGGCGAAGCGTTTTCAAGCATCAGATATGATGAACGCCAGCAATGCTATGCAGGTTGGTTAAGGATATCAGCACTTGATATTAATTATTACAAAACTGGAGCTTCAAAAAAAGAAGTCAAACTAAAG